CACAGACACTTTAAAGTCTCCTCTAAGAATATTACTTGAGTAAAAGTCTTAAAGTAGAGTATCTGATTTATTTTGTACTCAAGTATTAAAAGTAAAAATACTGAGTAATAACAAGAGGTTAGATTTTCCAAATACATTTTTAAAGGTGTGCAGCTGTGATGGATTGTGTACAAACTAATGTGTGTCAGAATAATATACTTCTCATCCAATCACAATTAAACTCAAAGGCACAGTTTATTGGGGTAGAATTTTTTTAAACAATAACGAGCCGGAATGAAATAGGAGTAGCGACTTTCTACTTCTTACTTTTTTTAAAAAATGTAGTGAGTAGAATGTAAAAAGTTGGCTGAAATAAATTCACTCAAGTAAAGTACAGATAGCCAAAATTTCTACTTAAGTACAGTAACAAAGTATTTGTACTTAGTTATTTTACAACTCTGTGCAGGAGCAACGATCCATTCAGGATAAAAATCACAATGATGTCATTATAACCCCACAAACAACGCGGGGGCCATATTGTTTTTTTGTTTTGTTTTTGTTTTGTTTTTTCAGTGATTTTTGGTCAACTGTAGCACAGAAACGGCTGCACTGATTACCATGAAATTTGGCAGGGATGTAGATGTTTCCGGCCTACACTGAGCCAGCCAACGGTTTTACGATAGACCCCATATTTGAGGAGGGGGCTCCTTCTAAAAAGGGGGTGTCTGGACTTACAAAAATGCTTATAACTCAAAAACTATTCAACATAGGAGCTTCAGATTTTTTTTTTTTTTGTTGTTTAGCTCTGATGAAGGGCTGTCCACCAATGAGTCCCCCCCCCCAAAACAATAAACTTGTTCTGGTGAGTTCTGGTTAATTGTGCGGGGGACATATAAGCAGTATCTAGTTCCATGTGGCTTCATTAGYCCCACTTCCTGTTTTCACAGCTTCTCTTCTGTAAAGTCCTGCCGTTTTGTATCGATGTCTTCTGCGTTCTGATTGTCCTCCGTCCGTTCTCAGGGGCGCTCCCCATCGTCTACATCACGCTCTTCTGCTACCCCTTGGTCCGGACCGTGTCCCTGCTGGTCTACATCCTGCTGTCCACGCACGCCATCTACTGCGCGGTCACGGCCCGCAGCAGCGTGCGGCGCATGCGCTCCTTCGCCTGGCAGGCGCTGTTCCGCTTCTCCTTCTTCCTGCTGCGCTGGGTGGGCGTGGGCAGCGGCAGCCCCACCTCGCTGGGGCACTTCCTCATGATGGACGCGTTGGCCGTGCTGGGCGGGGTCATCAACATCGCGCGCATCCCGGAGCGCTTCCGGCCGGGCCTCTTCGACTACTGGTGCAACAGCCACCAGATCATGCACGTGCTGGTGGTGGGCTCCATCCTCTACCTGCACTGGGGGGTRCTGGACGACCTACTGTGGATCAACAGCTACAACTGTCCCTCTGACTGACCCCCACCACAGCCCCCGTCCCCTGGACCGGAAGCGCCGGGACGTGAAACTGAAGGACCTCTGCAGGGGGCGGGGGCTGGGGGTCTCTGCATGTGTTCACCTCATGCTCCCAAACTCAGAAGTCTTCATCCATCCTGAAACTTTGCAGACAGAAGTATGTCGTTACGCACTCAGTGACTGGACTAACACACACACACACACACACACACACACACACAC